TTCTATAAAGACTAAAGCCTAAGAAACTCTCTAGGGCAGTTCCCCCTTGGCCCTTGCCCTGTAGGATTGCTGGGAGTTGGAATTACTCGATAGCACTGTTTTTTTGTTTGTTTTGTTGGTAGGTATAGTGGCACTAAAGGAACCCGGGGTCTAATTAGTGGAGAGAGATAGTGGATATTTTAAAAAAATCAATGAAAAAAATCCACTTGGATTTTTTGGTACTGTTCATTTTATAGGTTTTTGCTCTTTATTATTTCTTTTGCTTTCTTTAATCTTAATTTGCTGTTTTTCTGCTAGTTTATTAAGATGGAAACTGTTCATTGGTTATAAGACTTTCTTATTTTCTAGTAAATGCTTTTAAAGCAATAAATTTCCCTCGGTATGTGGCTCTAGGTACATTTCATATATTTTATCCTTTTATATCTTCATTGTCTTTTGGTATTAAATGTTTTCTAAGGTCTCTTGTGGTTTCTTTGACTCGTGTGTTATTTTTTAGAATTCAGTTGTTTAATTCCTAATTTCAGTTTTTTTAAAGATATTATTTATATTTTATTTTTGCTGTAGTCTGAAAACATTCTTTAAGGCATAGTTTTAAAAGTATCCATTGATACTTATTTTACGATGTAGCATATGTCTGTCACGGTAAACTTCCCATGTGCTTGGCTATATTCTGTACTCATAGAAATAAAACAAAAAAGCAGATCTAAAGTCACTGAGTTGACGATTCATAGCAGTCCTATGGAATAGAGTAACAACAATGAGTAATGAGTAACAACAACCCATAGAATTTCCAGTGCTGTAAATACTAACCGAAGAAGACTGCCTCATCTTTCTCCCATGGAGCAGCTACAGGGTCCCCACTGTCAACCCTCTAGTGTCATTGTTTCCTGGAATATTTGAACTCACTCTGCTCTAGCCACGCTAGCGTACTTGCTGTTCCTTGACTGTGCCAGACCTTTTTCCCACATTTTATTACTGGCTAGCTCTTAGCTAGTCTTGGTACTGGCTGTTTCCTGCACCAGGAACGCTTTCCTCCCAGATAGTCCAGCACCTGGCTCACTCTAACCTTTTCCAAGCTTTTGTTCAGTGTCATCTTCTCTACCCACCACTTTATTTAAAATTACATCTCACATTCTGGTCCTTTCTTGCTTTACTCTTCATAATACATCTCACCTGTAACAATGTATATAATGTGCTTACCTATTGCTGTTACCTTCTATCAGTGTTGTCCCCAAAATGGGTGATAGTGCCCCCTGGGAAGAGAGGGCTGGATTGGTCCAGGGGTCTACAAAAGCAGATATCTACATGGGCTATAGTACAAAAGCTTTTTAATTACCAGGGTGGCTCTTGGGTAATTTTTTTCTCCCAAAAGGGGACAATGGGCCAAATAAGTTTGGGAACCCATACCCTAGACTGTAAGTTCTAAGTGGGCAGAAAATCGTTTTCAAACTTGTTTACTTATGCATCCCAAATGCCTTGAATAATGGTGGTAATATAAGCTAGTGCTCAGAGTTTTGCTGAATGGATTTATGCAAGGTAACGAACCAAAAGTAGTCTACCTTTGCCGGACCGTGGAGTCAGACTCATGTTGCCAAACTGAGATGGGCTAATTCTCCTGTAAACAGAAGTTAGAAAAAGTAGCCGTATTTGCATGTGCCTTGGCTTAGAGAGAGCTGCATTTCTGCTTTCTTGTCCTGGTTGGAAAAAGCCGAGAAAGCTTCACCTACTGGTCACGTGCTCAGTTATATTGGGGAGTTAACATGAAAACAAGAGTTCTGAGCAGCAGATAATGAGACTGCGTGTTTGGACTTGGAGCCACCTGTTAGGGAACTGGGTAAGGAGGTTGATGTAAACAAGAAAGTTCAGTACCTAGAAACCTGTTGTTTAGGTACTGTCGAGTTGGTTCTGACTCATAGCGACCCTATGAACAACAGAATTAAATGGTCTTCTGCCACCATTCCAGCCATTGCTATGTTTGAGCTCACTGCTGCAGCGACTCTGTCAATCCGTTTTGTTGAGGTGCTTACTCTTTTTTCTGACCCTCTGCTTTACCAGCATCGTGTCTTTCTCTTAGGGCTAATTCCTCCTGATAACATGTTCAAAGTAAGTGAGACAAAGCCTCGCCATCCTTGCTTCTCAGGCGAATTCTGGTTGTATTTATTTCAAGACAGATATAAGTTAGAATAGGAATACCATTTTCTTTGTGAGAATTGACATCAAGACTTGAGATACGCGTTAGGTTGGGGCAGGGTACCAGAATAGGCAGAGAAGAGCCGTGAAGCCAGAAAGCCTTGGAAGGTGGAGAAGTGAGGGATCTCACTACAAGTGAAGTAAGGGCTTTGAAAGGCTTTAAAAGAGTCTTTGAAGAGTTTATTTTGAGGTATATGTTATAGACCTCCTCTGTTTTTACTGTGAAATCTTATGTCAAATCTAGATCACTTTGATCCAAGTCAGTGCTTTCCAAAGGATGTGAAGAGATGGCATGCTCGGGCTCAGAGTTGGCACAGAGTAAGAATAGGTTACATATGGTGGGATCTGCCATCTAGATTACATGTAATAAGGAAGAAAAACAATAGGGCTCAGTGATAGATTCAAATAAGGTAGTGGAGTTTGGCAGTGAGGAGACTCATTGATGACCTTGGAAAGAGTCTGGGTATGTTGAGAAATAACAGTTTTACAATTTGATTTTTTTATTAAATAAAGCTTTCTCTGATTTTATGACAATACTCTTTTTTAACTTACATATAAACAACGCTTTCAAGGAATTTAACTCACTGGAAGGGAATTTAGGGGGAAGGTTTTTTCCCTCTCCTTCAAAGTGGTGTTTATATGTAGATAAAGAGAAACCAGTAGACAGAAAGAGTTAATGATGTTAGAGGGTTGGCTGATGTGGTTGGTGGATTGAAGCATCTGAGAAAGGAAGAGGAGGTGGGGTCCAAAGCACATGTAGATAAAGTGGTGGGGAGGTGGGGTGGGAAGGAAAACAAAGGTACAGCTGTAGGTCAGTTTATAGTTTTCGTAGACAAGCTCTAGTGGTGTAGTGTTAAGCTCCAGGTTGGTGGTTTAAAACCATCTCCTTATGTGTGGAGAAAGATGTTGTCAGTCTGCTTCTATAAAGACTAAAGCCTAAGAAACTCTCTAGGGCAGTTCCCCCTTGGCCCTTGCCCTGTAGGATTGCTGGGAGTTGGAATTACTCGATAGCAATGTTTTTTTGTTTGTTTTGTTGGTAGGTATAGTGGCACTAAAGGAACCCTGGTGGCATAGTGGGTTATGTTTGGCTGCTAACCTCAGGAGTAGCAGTTCAAACTCAGCAGCCACTCTGAGGGAGAAAGATGAGGTTTTCTGCTTCTATAAAGAGTTACAGTCTCAGAAACCCCAAGGAGCAGTTCTTTTCTGGCATTATGAGTTTGGACTGACTTGATAGTGAATTTGCTTTTGTTTTATAGTGGCATTGTTGAAAACAATAGCTGCGTAGGTAGGGGAACTGCTGCTTTGGGAATGGTATAAAATAACTTTCTTGCTGACCCATCTACCAACACAAACATCAGTGTTAAACAAACACCCACACTCACTGTCATCAAGTCAGCGCTGACTCGTGGCTACCTCCTATGGGTTTCGGAGACTGAAACTGTTTACTGAAGTAGAAAGCCCAGTCTTTCTCCCTCTGAACTGCTGGTGGTTTTGAATTGCCAACTATGTGGGTCAGTCACAGCCCAATGCATAACCACTACACTGCCAGGGCTCCTCTATATCAGTGTTAGTAAAGTCTAAATTGCTGGTATTTGAAGATCCAGGGCCAAAGTTGTTTTTGGTTTTTTTTTAATCGTTTTATTAGGGGCTCATACAACTCTTATCACAATCCATACATACGTCAGTTGTGTAAAGCATATTTGTACATTCATTGCCCTCATCATTCTCAAAACATTTCATCTCCATTTAAGCCCCCGGCATTAGGTCTTCATTTTTCCCCTCCCTCCGTGCTCCCCCTCCCTCATGAGTCCTTGATAATTTATAAATTATTATTTTGTCGTATCTTGCCCTGTCTGACGTCTCCCTTCACCCACTTTTCTGCTGTCTGTCCCCAAGGGAGGAGGTCACATATAGTGCCTTATAATAGGTTCCCTCTTTCCAACCTGCTCTCCCTCTACCCTCCCAGTATCGCCACTCACCGCTGGTCCTGAAGGGATCATCCGCCATGGATTCTCTGTGTTTCCAGTTCCTATCTGTACCAGTGTACATCCTCTGGTCTAGCCAGACTTGCAAGGTAAAATTCAGATCATGATAGTGGGGGCGGGGAGGAAGCATTTAGGAACTAGAGGAAAGTTGTATTTTTCATCGTTGCTACATCGCACCCTGACTGGCTCGTCTCCTCCCCAAGACCTCTCTGCAAGGGGATCAGGGCCAAAGTTTTATAGATAATTTCTAACCTCCCAATGGAACCAAATCCCCCACTGTAATTTGAGTGTTAACAGAATCTGTAACTAGATACTTCCATATGAGCATTCTATTAAGTATGAGGTGTGATCTGGATATGTATAATATAGTGGAGAAAATGGCATCGGGGCCATATCTGACCTGCCCTGCTAAACAGGAGAAGGAGAATCCAAATCCATACCAACAGTGTTAGACCAGGGAGTCTAGAGAAACGGATAAAAAGAAAAGGAACTTTACATCAAGAAGCCACCCCAGCCAATCCAATTCAAGTCCACAAGTCTGATGCTAGTCCATAAGCCCCTCTTCAGACTCACACAGCCACATTGCAGACTGGGGAACCGGGAACCAGAAAAAGATCACAGGCCAGTGGGTGCAGAGTTGCATGGATCCAAAGTGGGTGGAAACACAGCAGGACACCAACAGCCTCTTGGTCGCAGCAGCAGAGTCCCAGCAAGCAGGAAGATGAAGGGGCAGAGAGAGAAAGAGAGAGATCCATCTCCATTGTCTCACATTCTCATACAAAAAGGTTTGTGGTATAAGGAGGTGTCATTAAGCTGCGGCTCTGTCTCTAATGAGGAGTGTCTAGTTGACATGATCCCTAACTGCCACACCAACCCAAGGCCAACATGCTTCCACCCTCATCTTTCTTTGCCTGTTCGGGCGTCAACTGTTCCCCATGACCACTCCTTGTTTGCTGGGTTCCATAATTCATTTTAGTGATCACACTGATCTCTCAGACAAGACTCACAATTATGGGGTTTTATTAGGGAAGTTAATAGATTAGGTAGAGTTACCACAGCCAGCATCAGTAAATAGTAAAGATAGTCAATGGTCCACAACAGCACCTCTTCTCAGCCAACAGCCAAGTCTTTCTCTCTGGTCCTCAGCCTTCCAGCACATGGTCCTTTGGCCGCTGGTCAATAGACTAGGAAGTCTCTCTGCCGTCCTGCCTCACAGCCTCCCCACTGTCTCTCTGCTATCTTATGATCTCCTTGCCTCCCCCTCTAGCCTCAGTGAGGCATAGTGTCTGCCGCCTCCGCCTTCAGACAGAGATCTCAAATGTGCTCCCTCTTCCTCAATGGACCTAGGACTTCTCTGTGTTCCTGCTTCTGAGATGGCTCATTCTTATATGGAGGTGTATCATACTCTTAAGAAAACAAAAGGTGATGACTTGAGTCACACCCTCTACTAAAGTGGAGACTCAGAATATATCCCACCTTAATCCTATAACAGAGAACTCCCTCCAAAATGGGGTTTGAGATAGAGGCTAGAATTTATGATACCTCCGAAAAAGGATTATGACTAGAAGCCAATAGTAGGTAATGGACATCTCAGTAACCTTTACTGTATGGAACATCACAGAGTTCTCTCCTGCCTCATATGCTGCTAATCTCCTTCCTCACCAGGGAATTCCTCAGCCATCCCCTGTTCTTTCATGTATACAGGATACCATGCCTTCTGTGTCCCAGATTCTAAAAACCCACCCTCCTCTGTGAAGCCTCTGTAAAGCAATAGTTAACTAATTCACCTGTTTGATGGCCTCCGCTGTGGCATGAATGCAAACCCTGTTAAAGGTCACAGTTCTGTCCCACCTGTATTCTAAGCACTGGAGAACATTCCAGAGCATTCATGAATATCTGTTTCACCAGTATGGTATCTTCTGTATAGTAAATTGTTAATAATCATTTGTTGAAATGAATAAATGCTGGATAACAAAGGAATTATCTTGTAAATATCAGAACTCTTAAAATTGCAAACATTTTTAGGATGGCAGTCTTTTTACACCTTCATATGTATTTCTTCCCTATTTAAAGTAAACCGAACAAAATTGAATTCTATTTTTGAAGATTTTAGGAGAATCCCAGTTGATATTTTAAAGTCGATTAGTGTTCTTAGAACTATTCCAAAAATGTATAGGGCTGTGAATCCTGGTGCTGAATGGCCTAGCCTACTAGGATTTTCCTGGAATTTTTAAGTTGTTTAATCTTGCTTTCTAAATTCATCCACTTTCAGTAGTTATTCTTCCCCCTTTCCTTTCTGCTTCTAATATACTCTGGGTTTTAAGCACATGCTTAAGAAAAGAAAGTAAGAATAATTATATTCTACAGTGCTCTTCTGGGATTGAGGCTTTACACCTTGGGACATGGCCTTGGCTCCATCTATATACTCTTTCAGAGCTGTTTTGGGGGCAACACTATGCCATTAGGTGCAGACAGAATTTGGAAATGGTGTTCAAGGTGTTAAAGGTCCATTTCTTTTGGCAGTTTAGATGCCTTTCTCTTTCCAGGTAATGGTTCTTTTTCTTTTTTTAGATTTTGAATGATGTACTTTGTATAAAAATTAATAGAGATAGGAGCTAATTAAAGGATTTATTTGGGCCTTATGTGAGAATGTTAACTGAAAATTAACGTAAGTCCAAGTTATAAGAAAAAAACAAAAGTAATAAAGTATTTATCTTTCCTTTTTCCTCTCCCATAGGAAATACAGATGAAGAGGACTGCAATAGAAGCTTTTAGTGAAACAATTAAAATATTTGAGGAACAGTGTCACACACAAGAACAACATAGCAAAGAATATATCGAGCGATTTCGCAGAGAAGGAAATGAAAAAGAGATTGAACGGTAAGTATGCTTAATGCCTCCACGTGCATCAACGAGACAAGATCTCTCTTCTTCCCCATCAGTCATTTTTATCCCTTCCCACCGCACAATCGTGCTCTCGGAACTACTTGCTTCTGCTAATAGCGCCACGTCAAACTTCCTCTGTCGACTCTCTGTTCCCTGAAATTAGTAACTCCTGCTCATCCTTAGGACTCAGGTTGAACATGGCTTTTTCTAGAAAAATCTTCTCAGATTCTGCAAGACTGGTTTAGGGAATTTTTGTGTATGCCTACAGAGTATATGGTATTGATTTATAGAATACCCTGCCCACTAAAGTGTAAGCTTCTTGGGAGTAGGAATGGTGAATTATCTTCCCTAATAGCCTAGCACATGTTATGGGACCCTTCAATTCATGTCTGGGAGAGGTTCGTGAGAGCAAAATGTGTCTAGAGCAGGATTTGAAGAAACAAGTGCTGAAAATTCAGAGTGGATGTTCACGGAATATTTGTTGAACTGAAGATCAACTTTGGCATCTTATGAGACTAAATTAGAATTGAAATAAGATTATGAGTAGAAAAACAGCTTGGCTATTGTAGGTAGCTGCTGGGAATATATGACCATTTGAGAAAGTGGTGTCGAGACTGCACTAAAACAGAGGCAGAAAAGGAGGGGAAGGACGAGGAGTGCCGCAGACTGGGTGCCTGATCAGATGTGCTAAGTGTGAGTGAAGTTAAATCATTTGCCCTGAGTCACAGTAAATAAGTGGCAGGGCAGGGATTCAAATCTAGGTGGGCTGACTTCAGAGTTATTGCTCTTAACCTCTATGCTATATTACTTCTTGAACATCATATATGTATATATATATATGGATAACTTGTTAAATCTTGATTAGAACCAGGGCTTACACAAGGTCATTGGGACTCACTCTCCCTTTCTTTTGTCTTCTGGTTTGTTTTCAGCTCTATTGTCTTTATCCTTCGTGCTGAGGAAGCAATGTGTCTGTTGAGAGTCCTAGAGTTACATATTCATAACTGAGTAACCCTTGGGAAAAAGAGACTCTCTTTATACAGTGTTGTTGTTGTGTGCCATGAGTCAATTCAGACTCAAGGTCTCCACTTGACTCTTATTGGAGAAGCTTCTATCTTATGCCCCCTCTGGTACTAGTCACTGTGACCTGAGCGCGAGGATGAGAAGTGGAACACTCTCACTGACCAAACCCTGCCGCCTGAAGTGGGGCAGGAAACCCTACCTACAAGGAGCGCCATCATGACTGCTAGTATGAGAGACTGGCAATGGAGACCGAGCAGGCAGACATCAGATGGCTGCCAAACTTGAAGATACTAGGACCATGCTCAAATGATAGGCTCATTCTGCTTAGGTATTGTTTTAGTCTTAATATATCAAATATTTTCACAGAATTATGATGAATTATGACAAATTGAAATCACGTCTGGGTGAGATTCATGATAGCAAAATGCGTCTAGAGCAGGATTTGAAGAAACAAGCTTTGGACAACCGGGAAATAGATAAAAAAATGAACAGTATCAAACCTGACCTGATCCAACTACGCAAGATCCGAGATCAGCACCTTGTGTAAGTAACCTGCGCCTGCGTGGAGAGGAAGCCTGAAGCACCAGATTCCTCCTGGCACTAGAGACCTCAGAAGATACTTTTAATTGAGAACTAGCATTGAGATTGCAAGATTTTAGGAAAATAGCCCTATTAGTAGCAGTGGTATCAGAGTTTACCTAAAGTCAGTATGTAGGGCAAGCCAGAATGTAATACACCAATCCATACAGATGCCTTGGAAATCTTGGAGGGTGGCTTGTAGCATGAGCAAAGTGATAAAAGCTTTAAAAGTGTGGATTTATGTTCGACTTAAAACACCGGAATCTTTGGTTATAGGGGAGAACTATAGAAATAGAAATTACCACTCATGGAACAAAAAATCAAATCATTGTGAATGAGGGGAAGTGCAGACTGGGGACCCAAGACCCATCTGTAGGCAACTGGACATCCCCTTACAGAAGGGTTGCGGGGAGGAGACGAGCCAGTCGGTGCAGTGTAGCAACGATGAAACATACAACTTTCCTCTAGTTCCTAAATGCTTCCTAACCGCCCCCCCCATCATGATCCCAGTTCTACCTTAGAAATCTGGCTAGATCAGAGGATGTGCACTGGTACAGATAGGAACTGGAAACACAGGGAATCCAGGATGGATGATCCCTTCAGGACCAGTGGTGAGAGTGGTGATACTGGGAGGGTGGGATAGAAAGGGGGAACTGATTACAAGACTCTACATATAACCCCTCCCTGGGGAATGGACAACAGAAAAGTGAGTGAAGGGAGATGTCGGACAGTGTAAGATATGACAAAATAATAATTTATAAATTATCAAGGGTTCATGGGGTGGGGAAGCGGGGAGGGAGTGGGAAAAATGAGGAACTGATGCCAGGGCCTTGGGTGGAGAGCAAATGTTTTGAGAATAATGAGGGCAATGAATGTACAGATGTGCTTTACACGATGTATGTATGTATTGTGATGAGTTGTATGAGCCCCCAATAAAATGATTAAAAAAAAAAAAAAAGAAATTACCACTCATAGGCAGGAAGGAAACTATAACGGGACTTACAAATAATGTATACAGAACAATTTCTGAAAGGATATTCTCTACTTAAGAAGTCAAATTCTAATTGTAAATAAATCAAAATATGTCTATAGCAGGCACAAAGGAGAATTTGACCTGAAAAACACAATTTAATTTTTAAATGAAATTAATATTATAATATCTTATGTATATAAATTGAACCACATTTTAAGAGTATGTTAATATGAAATAGTTTTCACTTATAAATAACCTAGATTCTTGTTATTTTCATTACTTGTTAGGAGAAAAAAGATAGGCTAATAAGAGTAAATAAAGCTTAGTGGGGCTCCCCCCCTTTTTAAAAACATTTTATTGGGGACTCTTACAGCTCTTATCACAATTCATACATACATCCATGTGTCAAGCACGTTTGTACATATGTTGCCATCATTTTCAAAACATTTTCTTTCAACTTGAGCCCTTGGTATTAGCTCCACATTTTTCTCCCTCTCTCCCCCACCCTCCCTCATGAACCCTTGATAATGTATAAATTATGATTTTTTTCATGTCTTAAATACTGACCGCTGTCTCCACACACTTTTCTGTTGTCCATCCCCCTGGGAGAGGGTTATATGTTGATCATTGTGATTGGTTTCTCCTTTCTCCCCCCCACCTTCCCCTTCCCCTCCTGGTACTGCTACTCTCATTATTGGTCCTGAGGGGTTTATCTGTTCTGGATTCCCTGTGTTATGAGCTCTTATCTGTACCAGTGCACATGCTTTGGTCTAGTTGGATTTGTAAGGTAGAATTGGGGGTCATAATATGGAGGAGAGGAAGCATTAAAGAACTAGAGGAAAGTTGTATGTTTTTTCAGTGCTATACTGCACCTTGACTGGCTTGCCTCTTCTGGCTTGTGACCCTTCTGTGAGGGGATGTCCAGTTGTCTACAGATGGGCTTTGGGTCTTTACTCCGCACTCCCCCTCTTGCACATTGATAGGATTTTTTTGTTCTGGGTCTTTGCTGCCTGATACTTGATCTCATCGACAGCTCATAATCACATAGGCTGGTGTGCTTTTTCCATGTGGGCTTCGTTGCTTCTCAGCTAGATGGCCGCTTGTTTATCTTCAAACCTTTAAGATCCCAGATGTTATATCGTTTGATAGCCATGCACCATCAGCTTTCTTCACCATATTTGCTTATGCACCCATTTTGTCTTCAGTGATCCTGTCGGGAAGGTGAACATCACAGAATGCCGGGTTATTAGAACAAAGTGTTCTTGTATCGAAGGAGTACTTGAGTAGAGGCACAATGTCCGTCTGCTACCTTAATACTTAATATATAAATAGATCTATTTCCCTATTGTTATATATAAACATATTTACATATGTACATGCTTGTATTTAGACCTCTATAAATGTCCTTCGACTCCTAGTTTCTTTCCTCTATTTCCTTTTACTTTCCTCTTGTCCCATTTCATGTTTGGCCTTCATTCAGGTTTCAGTAATTCCTGTGACTACATTGCACTCCATCAAACCCCAACAGGCATGCCCCACCAGGCATCCTCCGCCCTCCTTGCCATTGATTTTAAATCACTTGTTGTTCCCTTGTTCCTGAGTTTGTTGACTTTCCCCTATCTTTCCTCCTAACTTTTTAATATTAAGGAGACTTGACAGTAGTGGGTTTTACACAGTTTAGCCAAGTACAGGCATAAAGCGAGATTGTCCAAATATAGATAAGCCCGCTGCGATTTCCTTCTCTCAGTGGCTTTGTAGTTTAACCTTTTTGGACCCAAACATTAGCTAATCCTAGAAGGTAGAAGTTGGGTTGTACCGGTTCCTGAAGTGGTATAAATGGTTAATGTGATCCGCAACTAACTAAAGGGCTGGAAGTTCAAGTCCATCCAGAGAGGTGCCTTGAAAGAAATGCCTGGTGGTCTGCTTCCGAAAAATCAGCCATTGAAACCCAACAGAGCACAGTTCTCCTCAGACTTGTGTGGGGTCACTGTGAGTCAGCATGGACTCAACAGCAGCTGTGGTTTTTAGGTGAGTGGTAAGGCCAGCTAACACCTGGTTTCCCATCACTTCCCTGGGATGTGGGCGAGGAAAGGACATGCCAAAATGAGCTTTTCGCTCCTTCTTAAAATAACTTCAATGTCAGCTTTAGCAATATTATTTTCCAAAAAAGAAAACTGAGGTACAAAAAGAGGTCCAAGACCACATAATTAGTAATAGAATTAGAACTGGTTGTCAGATCTTTTGATATTATGCCTCAATTTGGGTTTTCTAGAATGTAATGACTTTAGATATGACTTGGACATTATTTATTAATAATAGGTATGAATCAACATATTTACCAAAACAATTTTAGCTTTTTCAAAATCATATTTAAAAGCTAGGCAGCTGAGGAAATAGTGTTGGCCATATTTGACCTGCTCCAGCTACAGAGGGCAGAAGGAGAACCCACCTCCTTATCTGCCCGTGGATGATACCTCTGCTTCCCGCCTCACCTTCTTTACCCCATTCTGACACCAGCCTCCCTGCCCACAGCACTCTGCTTCTGTGCTGGGTTCCATACTCAGTTGCATTGGCCACAGGGAACTCCCAGACTACTCACACTATGTGGGGTTTATTAGAGAAGTTAACAGGTTATAAGAAGTCAGGATCAGAAAGCATTGAGACTGTGGTTATTTCGTCTGCAAGCGCCTCTTCTCAGCCCTGCCAGCAGGCACATCTCTCATTGACCCTTGACCTCTACCAAGTAGCCCTTTGGCCTCTGCCCTGTTCAAGGCAAGTGTTACAAGGCTTGTAGTAGCAGATTTGTTACTAAGTCAAGTTCTATAAAAGGTCACCTGTTAACTGGCTTCCACCTTCACTACAGTAAAATATAAGATCCAGGCTATTTGTGGAATCTATAAGAACTTTAAAATTAGCTATGATGCCAAATTACTTAGTGTACTTGAGAACAGAAAGAGAGGTAAGATGACCCCGAATACTTCAGAATTGTGAAGATTTTGTTAAAGGCAGCTAGTCAGCAAACATTTACTCTTTATTTATTAAATATGTGCTATCTGCTGACACTGTTTGAAGCACTGGGAGTATGGCAATAAGCAGAACAGACTCCTTTCTTTACGACAGCTTCCATATTCATAGTAGGAGACAAACAAGTACAATGATATGATAACTCATTCAGGCACAGAGAAATGTATGAACATTAGAAAATCAGGTAAAGTGTAGCGTGTGTTCAGAGGATGGTCGTAGTTAAGACAATCAGGGGAGCTCTCACCAAGGGGATGATGTTTGAGATGAGCTCTAACTGGCCAAGAGCCTTGTTGGGGGTGGTGGTGGATGTACTTTATGCTCCACTCTGATTTTAGACCATTGGCTGTCTCAAAACGAAGGATGCAAGTTGTAACCATTTTCCAAATTAAACATTGGTAGATTTGAAGATACTGTAATTTGCCTGACAGTGAAGTAAAAGTGATATTAAGTACTCAGATTGCCACCTTGAATTTCTTGTGGCTTGCCTAGGTAAACATCAACCTTGAATTTCTGTTTTTGAGTTTTAAGTTCAATGCCATAGGCCACACAGGAATAAGGCCTTCTGGTTTAGCAGAGATTGAATATTTGATTCCAGAAATAAATGGCCTGCGTATGAGGGCAGTGTGTGTGTGTGTGTGTCTGTTTGTGGTAATATATCCTTCTAAAAATGGAAAATGCAAAGTGAGAGAAATACCTAATTTCAAGTAGTTCTATTCCTTTTCACAGCAGAGAATAATTAAAAACAACTAATTGAAGGAAAGCAAGGAGATGAATTCAGGGAAATCTTTGGCTGCTTTTTTGGGGTTTTGCCAGGGGAGGGGGCTCCTGGGCTCTGGGAGGTTGGTTGGTGGAAGTGTGTCCACTTTGTGGGTAGATTTTGCAGATACTGACATTTGTCTCCCTCCTGGCAGATGGCTCAGTCACAAAGGAGTGAGGCAGAAGCGTCTGAACGCCTGGCTAGGAGTCAAGAATGAGGATGCTGATGAGTACGTTCTCTCCATCTCCTGGCACAGGGCTTGGTTCCCACTATGAGGCCCGGGCCTTCGTGTTTTTAATCATTTTATTGGGGGATAGGGCCTTCTTTATACATGCTAAAGACTAGTTCTCTTTGTCACTTGACACACTGAATCCAGAACATTGTCTCTCTTAAGCTGAATTGCCTATAGGCTCTTGAATTCAGAGACCTTTCCAATCACATAAACCTGTATGCACCAGCACATGGACTTTCATATTTCAATTAATTGGGTGGGACATGCGAATTCAGTGCTTTGCACCATAACAAGCAGTGGCGTTCTTTAAAAAAAACAAAACCCAGCCCAAAACAAATTACAATTTCATGTTGTCCTTATTCTGGTTAAAGATTTAGAAGATTTAGAAGGGAGCTTTATTTATGAATTTGCTTTTAGAAATAAGTAACCTGATTGTTAAAATGGTATTCTAACATTAATTTTTAGGAACTATTTTATGAATGAGGAAGATGAGAACCTGCCACATTATGATGAGAAAACCTGGTTTGTTGAGGATATTAATCGAATACAAGCAGAGGACTTGCTTTATGGAAAACCTGATGGTGCATTCTTAATTCGAGAAAGTAGCAAGAAAGGATGCTATGCTTGCTCTGTGGTGTAAGTCTTCTCTTGGAGTATGACATTTTGAAAACTTCTGTGTTGATTTATAGAACATCTACTATAGAACATCTATAGTAATGAGGGCTCATTACTATTACTAAATGAACCATTTCTATTTTTACAAAGAGAAGAGTTGGTTGTTCTAGGAGAAATGTCTGCAATAATTTTGGGCATTTAATTTACATGGTGCAGCAGATTGGGTATAGTGTTGCTAGTGCTGTGTTGTTTTTTTGTTTTGTTTTTAAATCATTTTATTGGGGGCTCATACAACTGTTCCCACAATCCATACATACATCCACTGTGTCAAGCACATTTGTACATTGTTGCCCTCATCATTCTCAAAACATTTTTTTTCTACTTGAACCCTTGGTATCAGCTCATTTGTTCCCTTCCCCTCTCCTCCCTCCCTCACAAACCCTTGATAATTTATAAATTATTGTTTATTTTTTCTTGTTGTTTGTAAACAGTAATGTGAAACTGGAATTGATCTGCATACTTTGGTCTGCACTCTCAGATTGGGGAGGCTTAATTAAACAGGCATCTGGCTGCTAACCACAGAGCCAACAGTTTGAAGTAACAAGTAGCTCAGCAGGGTGAAGACATTGCGGCTCACAGGGAGTCTCAGTCAGAGGTATACTGAGATAGAAGGAAGACTCCACCCCAGTTTTGTGTTAAGTAGCATTGTATTGAGGTAGCAAGAGAAAATGTGGGCATGTTTGCCTTAAGATGATCTGTGACTCTGAAAAAATTATTTTAATGAAAACTCAAAACTTGGGGCAACTAACCATGCCTCAGTCAGATAGCTAAAGCTAGAAGCACTTGAAATCTTTCTTTCTTACCAAGTTATCTGAGTGAGGCTGGCAGGATACGCTATTTTGGTGAGGATTTTGGCTATTTTAAGAGTAATTAAAAAAGAAAGAAAGGCAGTAATCCCAGTGCATCGATCTCTCAGGTGTCTGGTAGCAGTCGGTCAGTTACAGATCTGATTGGTGGAACGTATTGTCCAGCAGTTCAGTCAATCCCTGAACTGTGTTCATTTGAATATTGAGATAACTGAACTCTTAATTTTCCATCCTTTAGTCATAGACCTAACCAAATTCAAGTCCACAGCAGTGTGGATATCCCTTGTGTAGGCAAACCAACTGCAATGACCCATCTTATTGGAAGTGAGTATAGGATACCGCTTGGAGGATGGTTGGAAGTTGGAGAAGCTGCATCAGGAATCTCTCCCTTGCTTGCCAGTCACACTGGCTAGAAGAATCAAGCTACAGGGACCTGCCCAGAACACATAGAACATTTGCTGAAGTAGGAAAATAAATAACTTTGAATAAATTGCCTTTTTAGGAAACATAGTAAAATTAAAATGATCATGTAGTAGTAGGTCAGGACATGGATTTTTAAAAAAATCTTAAATTCCTTAATGACAGGAAGTGTAAGAGAGAGTTGTTGAACTCCAGAGCTTTCTCTGGCTGTAAACCTTCATCCAGCAACCCATGTGTTTGAGTAGCTTGATGTAGTGAGCATCTGTGATATTTACTGGTGTTGCCGTTTGAGCTAAGAAATTGGATTAAATATAAAACAACTAGGCCAGGAAACAGAATACTTACACAATACTACCACTATAAGACAGGAGTCCTAAAAACATCTATAGAATATTCCATAATATGCTGACTTCCCAAGTGTACATGAAGCATAGTATAGACCATAGGTTAGGCCATAAAGCAAATTTCAGGAAATTAAAAGGATTGGAATCATACAAAGCATGTTACCTAAACACAGTGGAATGAAATTAGATGTCAATAACAAAGAGATTGACAAATGTGGAAAATAAAAATACATTTGTAAATAATCAATAAGCAAAAAAAGAACAAGGGAAATGAGCATATATTTTGAGTGACAACTGAAGCATATACAAATATATGCTGCTGAGCCCGTGTAGACTCGTAGCAGCCCTGTGAGGAAAGGTGGGACTGCCCTTTGGATTCCTTAGACTGTCTTTGTGGAAGCCTCATTTTTAGAATGCAGCTAGAAGGAAATTTATAGCTTTAAAACAAAGAAAGATCTAAAGTTACTAACTTAACCTTCCACCTTAAAAATCTAGAAAAGGAAGAGCAAATTAAACCCAAAGCAAGAAAAAGAAGGAAATAATAAAGATTCAAGTGGAGGGGTCTGAGCATGATAGTGGGACAGGAGGAAAGTCAAGGGAAATAGAGGAAAGAGTTGGGAGGCAAAGGGCATTTATAGAGGTCTAGATAAAGACAGTAGATATGCAAATATGTTTATATATGAGGATGGGGAAATAGATCTATGTACATATATTTATAGGATTAGTATTAAGGTAGCAGAAGGACATTGGGCCTCCACTCAACTACTCCCTCAATGCAAGAATACTTTCTTCTATTAAATTGGCATTCTGTGATGCTCACCTTCCTGACACAATCGCTGAAGACAAAGCGGGTGAATAAGCAAATGTGGTGAAGAAAGCTGATGGTGCCTGGCTATCAAAAGATATAGTGTCTGGGGTCTTAAAGGCTTGAAAGTAAACAAACGGCCATCTAGCTCAGAAGCAACAAAGCCCACATGGAAGAAGCACACTTGTGTGATCACGAGGTGTTGAAGGGATCAGATATAAGGCATCATCAGAACAAAAAATTTTACCATAGTGAATGATGGGGGGAGTGCGGAGTGGAGACCCAAAGCCCATTTGTAGGCTACTGGAGATCCCCTTGCAGAGGGGACTTGGGGAGGAGACGAGCCAGTCAGGGTGCGATGTAGCAATGATGAAAAATACAACTTTCCTCTAGTTCCTAAATGTTTCCTCCCCGCTCCCACTACCATGACTCGAATTCGATCTTGCAAGTCTGGCTAGATCAGAGGATGTACACTGGTACAGATAGGAACTGGAAACACAGGGAATCCAGGGCGGATGATCCCTTTAGGCCCAGTGGTGTGAAACTGGGAGCATAGAAGGAGAGTGGGTTGGAAAGGGGGAACCAATTACAAGGATCTACATGTGACCTCCTCCCTGGTGAGCGGACAACAGCAAAGTAGGTGAAGGGAGACATCAGATAGGGCAAGATATGACAAAATAATTTATAAATTATCAAGGGCTCATGAGGGAGAGGGGCGTGGGGAGGGAGGGGAAAAAATCAGCTGATGCCAGGGGCTTAAGGGGAGAGCAAATGTTTTGAGAATGATGAGGGCAATGAATGTACAAATGTGCTGTACACAGTTGATGTATGTATGGATTGTGATAAGAGTTGTATGAGCCCCTAATAAAATGATTAAAAAAAAAAAGATTCAAGTGGAAATAAGCAAAATAAAGAAAAGGAAAACAATAGAGAAAAATCCATGAAACTAAACGTTGATTCTCAGAAAAGGTGAGTAAAATGACAAACATTTACTACCTTAACCAAGAAAACAAAAGCCTCAAATGACTAAAATCAGGATGAAGAAGAGGCAGTATTAGCAATGCTATAGAAATGCAAAGGAAAAAGGAAATATTGTGTATGCCAACAAGCTACTTAACCTAGATTATGTGGACAAATTTCTAGGAAGACACACTAATGAAACTGATTCAGGAAGAAACAGAAAATCTGAATTGAAGCATAGCAAAAGTTGAATTATTAATCAAAAACCCCAGTACAAAGAAAAGCCCAGGTCCAGATGACATCACTGATGAATTCTACCAAATGTTTAAAAAATGGACACCATACCCTCACAAACTATTCAGAGAAGCAGAAAAGAATGTAACACTCTCATACTCATTTTACAAGACCAGTATGACCCAGATACCAAAACCAGAGAAAAAGAGACATCATAAAACTGCCAGTGGTTCTCAACCTTCCTCATGCTGCGACGCTTTAATAGTTCCTCATGTGTGGTGAACCCCAATCATAAAATTATGTTCGTTGCTACCTCATAACTGTAATTTTGCTACTGTTACGAATTGGGCGAGCCCTGTGAAAGGGTCGTTCAACCCCCAGAGGGGTCGCGACCCACAGGTTGAGAACTGCTGTAGACCAAAGCCCTTTATGAATATAGATGTAAAAATCCTTAACAAAACACCAGCAAACCAAGTCAGCAATATCTAAAAAGAGTATATACAATATGACCAAGTAGGATTTATCCCAGATATGTGAGATTGGTTCAGTGAAATCAGTCAATTAATAGAATGAAGGAAAGAGAACACATGATCATCTCAATTAAAACCCCCCCAAAACTCAGGGCCATCAAGTCAATTCCAATTCATAGAAACCTATAGAACATGTAGAACTGCCATAGTGGGCATTCAAGATTGTAACTTTACAGGAGTAGGAAGCCTCATCTTTCTCCCATGTCGCAGTTTGTGGTTTGGAACTGCTGATGTTGAGATTAGCAGCCCAGTGCGTAATCACTACACTACCTTGATCATTTCAATAGATACATAAAAAGGATTTGACAAAATCCAACACTCCTTCACAATAGAAACCCTAAACAAGCTATGGATGGAATGGAGCGTCCTCCATCTGAGGAAAGGCATTCTTGAAAACTCCACTGTTCACACCATGCTTAGTAATGAAAGACGGAATGTTGTTTTTCTAAGGCCAGGAACAGAACTACTTCTGTTCAACATCATACTGGAAGGTGTGTGAGCCCGACACAGAAAGGGTCCAAATGAACCATGGAAACCCCAAGGAGCACAGTTCTGATCTGACTCACATGGGCCACTGTAGGCTGGAGTCAGCTGGTTGACATAAGTGGAAAGACATTGTGAATCCATGAATCAGAAGAATGAACAATGTTTTGATGGTATTACTCCCCAAATTACTACAGATTCAGTGTACATTTTAACATACTACCCCTACCCGTACTCCCACCCCCAAAATAGACAGACAAACTGGTCCTAAACTCTTATGGAAATGTAGGGAACCCAGAATTGCCAAAACAACAGTGAGGGGGAGGGGTTTTTCAAAAGGTCAGAGGACTCAGTATATGTCCCAATTTCAAAACTTATTACAAAATTATAGAAATGTGTGGCATACTGGCATAAGAAGACACACAGGTCGGTGAATGCAATAGAAAGCTGATAAACATTTATCGTCCCTGGTTTTCAACAAGGGTGCCAAAGAGCACAGTGAGGTGACAGAACAGTCTGAAAACTGAATGTGAAAGACCGCTTGAATGAATAGGGTGACCCCACCTTATACCATATCCAAGGAAAGAGATTCAAATGTTCCAAAGCCTGAAACACTCTTAGAAGAACACTGTAAGTTCAAATAGTCCTGACCTGGAATTATGCAATCGTTTCTTGAGTATACTGAAAGTCACAACAAGAAAATAAAAGCAAATTGGAGTTTGCTAAATGTAAAGCTTTTATGCTTAAAAAATACCGTCAGATTTGCCATGCCACTGCTGATATAGCGATTATGCATTGACCTATGATCCAGTCCCCATGGTTTGTGGTTCAAAACCACCAGCAGTTCAGAGGGAGACAGACTGGGCTTTCTACTCCTATAAATAGTTAGTCTTGGAAGCCCACAGGAGCGCTGTGAGGCAGCACCGACTCCATGGCAGTTGAGTGCGTTCCTTGCAGCAGCACCGTCACAGTAGCCCAAAGGTGGAGACACCTTCAGTGCCCCTCAGTAGTAACTGGACAAACCAAGTCTGGCACCTACCTACCATAGATACAACTCAGCCAGGAGGATAAAATGAAGGTTTGATACATTCCACACTGTGAATGGAGCTTGAAGACATATGCTGAGTGAATTAAATGATTTACGTATAGCCAAAGAGTGTATGACCTCATGCATATAAAAAGATAACTACAAAGAGAAAAGGCAAATATGAAGACCAAAACACATTACTGGTTATCGGGGGCAGGGTGGGGGTGGGGTGGAATTAGCAGTGATGGGAAAAATTGCGTTGATTAAGAGTACAGTTGCTACAGAGCTCAGTAACTGCTGTCAATTGGTTGTATGCCTGCAAAAAGTTGAATTAGCAAAAGTTGTGTGACAGATACAAGGGAACTTCAAAGAGTTTGTAGGGAAATTCCATCTTTCCATGAACTTTATGTACAGCCAAACACTGCATGAGATTTGGTTCCTTGGTTTGGAGGTTGTAGGGTCATGTTTCCTGGGGCACCCCGATTAATTGACCGAAGACCCTGTTTAGTGCTTCCATTCTCCCTCCTAGGTGGTGACTGCCTGGGGTCTGAAAAGCTTACAAGTGGCCGTCCAGTGCCCACGATTAGTCTGTAGTCACCTGGAACAACAGGAATAATGAGAATCAGGTGTGGTGGGGCTTCAAGAAGTTTGTAGGCAAATGAGTTCAAATTAATAGCAGTAACTCAAGAGATTAGATACAGGAATCTAAAGGGGAAGTGTGGTGTGTGTTTATGTGAACGAGGGAATCACCACTTTAGAAAAGGAAAGTGAAGTTGGTTGTACAACTCGGAGAATGCAATCAGTGTCACTCAATTGTACACGTGGACACGGTTTCACTCACTGTGTACTCTTCAACAACAACAAAATAAAATTGTAAACAAAAATACTCTCAGGAAGTGAAAGGACAGCCCACAGAATGGGAGAAAGTCTTTTTCAAAGCAGACAGTAAAACCTGAGAAAGCTGGTCTGTAAAGCAGAAACCTGTCAGAGAAGAAAAACTCAAATCTTTTCCACCGAAACAATACTTCAGCCTGATGAAGGATTCTCTGAAAGCCAGAGCTTTCTAGACATGGAATTAAAAAGTCAATGGCATTGCAACCGAAATATGAGGAATTTCAGATGTTAAACCAGAAACAGTTCCAAGAAATACACGAGTCTAAACTTCCACCTAAACACCAATTGAGAGACAGACAGACAGACAGACAGACGAAAGCTGCCTTCCACTTCTGCATCCTGACTGTGAGTGCACCACTGCTGAGCTGGGAGAGCTTCTCGTCTTCACATTTTTACCTTGTGTATTTGGAATTTTTTTTTGCCCGTAAATTTTTTTCTCAGAGAAAAACAACAGCCATAAGTTTGGAAGAAGATAAATACTAAAAATTTATTTATTTTCATGAACAGCTAGTAAAATATACGTTTGCCCTGTTAAGAGGTTTTACTTTTCTCCCTCAGTTTGAAGCTTTCACTGTAGCTGTTTGTAATTTTGATAACGTGATTACAGTTTTCAGAATCCACTTGAAAGTCTTTCCTTCACATTTAGAGAAGCATTTCCTCACATAACACAGTCAGTGTGTCTACAAAAGCCACAACATTGTTCTCATATAGTTTTCCTGAAATATTTTACTGAAGTATGGTAATTTTATCATATAGTGATGTTGATAGTTTTCATCTTTTTTCTTTTTAGATAGTCATGCTTTCAAGAATAAGATGGTACATTCCTTACCTTTTATAAAAATGTATTAACTTTTTGGGGGGGGGCAAAAAAACCCTAATCCTTCACAGCTATGGACAAGATGTTATCTTCTGAAAGAAAAATTTGACATTGCCAAGATAATTATCAAAGGAAAAAACCATTAAAGAAGTTGTAATTAAGTGCTGCAAAAGAGAAATTTATGAGACTTACGAGTGAAGGGGTGAGTTTAGCCTGTCAATCAGTTCACAGCTTGATGACCTCATTTGGAGGCGTTGAGATAAATAGCTCACTGGAGGCAAGACACATGCTCACTCCCTGAGAGATATACCCATTGACAAGATACATGGAGCTACGCTAGAACTCTGGAGCCAGAGGAGCCATGTGGAGACCC